ATTGCTGCCATCAAATCTGCTAGGCTGTAGTCTGATTTGCCGCTTCTCGTTTCCATTTTTCTTCTCTTTTTTTTTTTTCTTATCCCACTCTCTGACACCAATTTGTTACGTCTCCGTTTGTTAATTGATTTTCCGTAACTTCGTACCGACGAAACTTAAGCGACACAAGTCTTTACTTAATAAAACTGGTTTATTCTTTCCGAATATAACTCTGCCATACACTTAATCTCAATACTCGCGCTAAAACAACACTGTAACGAACGAACGTTAACTTCAAGAATACTGTGTGACTGCCGTTCAATTACTCACTATCTCCTCCTTTATATATACCAGCCCACCCTACATCGAGCAATTACTAGAGCATTCCCGAAAGAACAAGATAGTTCTTGAAACTAGAGGGCGCCACAGTGGTCACGTGACTCGCTTACGCAACACAACTTTACGATACACTTATTTTCAACAGTCTCTATAACAAACGCTATATCAACAAACGTCAACAATACTTCTGACTGCAGTTCAAATACTCACTATCTACACACACATTACTGCGTCACGTTGTCACCCTCTTATTTATATACCAGCTACCCTATCTAGTAAATGCTAGGGCATTCATGAAGGAACAAGATAGTTCTAGAAACGTGGCGTCACACTAGTCATGTGACTTCGCTGACGCAACAATATTAATAATTTCAGACAGGCGGCCAATACATATAATTATGTAGATTAAATTTCCAATTGCCAAGAGTGGTCACCCACTCTCCCCGGACTATATTCCCACTGTTTTCTCTCATAAAGTCACCCCAGAAGAAAATAGCAGCGAAAAATATGGCGAAGTTTCATCTAAGCCAGGCAATGAAAGAAAAGGAAGTCGTGAGGAGTGATTTCTGGTAGTGATGCGGCTGCGCCTCTCACGACGTTTATTTCCACCATTTATATTTCAATAATTCATATGCAACAGTAGGCTTGCCAACCCTCTCGGATTCGCGGGGAGTATTCCGGAATCGTATCGTCACATTTATTTACGTGTGGCCCAATTTCATGAGCGATGCCAGTAATCTATCACGTGGTACGTCAGCCATAGCAAGAGTGAAAGATAACTCACGTGTTGTAGTCCAATTAACATCGATCTTTTGTTTACATTTTTGTTCTTACATTTTTCTTTTTATAATTGCCATGGATAGTGTTGAAAAATATAAAAAAGGTGGAGGCAGTTCTTGTGCCGTTAATGGTTGTTCAAATAATCGACGCTAACTGAATATATGGAAGGAATCTATGTGTAAAATACACGGCCAATTGCATAAAGACTGTGCGTGTTTAATTCCGTTTAAATTTCATTCTGTACCGTCATATGAGCCAACAAAACTTGAATGGATTAAAGCTATTAACCGAAAAACATTACCGAAGAAAGTGTACGTTTGTTCCGAGCACGTTTTAGATGGAATGCCGACGGAGATAAACCCATACCCAAAGATAAAATTAGGTTATGAAACTAAAGCAACACCCGGTCGGCGAAAACTGCTGAAACATTCACAAAGTCCAAGTGTTAAAAAAAGTAAATTGGCAAGCAGCAGTGGCGATCAAAATGAGGAAACATACGATTTCGTGCAAAGTGAATTAGACAGTTCGATTGATGAAACAAGTACTATTATTTCCGATAGCATTTGTGATAATTGAGTTACTGAAACAGCAACTTCGTTTACACAGTACGACGAATTGGACCTTAAACTTCGCAATGACCATTGTTATGCACAAGAATGGACAGACGTTCAAAGGTGAGTTAGCGCTTTCGTATAATAAAAAAAATCATAATTGAACTAACGGATAGAAAGAATAATAACTAAACTATAACAAAATAAAAGTGGAATTCGCTACCTCACAAAGTTCTACATGAATTAATTGTTACTGTTGGTTGGATTGTACTCTATATAAGTATATGTACTATGTACAAGTTACAACATTGTTAACGTTTATAAATTATAGGCGCTGATCTAAACTTTATAACGATCTGTATGCACCTGAAGTAAAGTAGTAATTGACTGAAGCTATGTCAGTTTCTACCCAGAGGTGTTAAATGGGCTTGTTAGTAATTTGGATCATGTGATGTAATTAGTATGTTGTTAGTTCATTGCTAATTTGTAACTTGTGTGAGTGAACAAATCCAGAAGCCAAGATCAAGTTGTCATATGTATAATAAATGAAGATGTTAAGACAGTTATGTATAGGTTCTCTAAATAAATGTATATAAAAAATAGAATAAGTAGTAACTACTACACTGATTTCTATTATTTTATGATTCCCCATCTATAAGCAAAATTTATTTTCTAATGGTAGCTGTTACTGTTAGTACTTAGTAATTTCGGATGTGTAATTCAATTAATTTTGCTATTTTTTGTGTTTTATGGAGAGAGCTCATTGTTGTGTTTTCAGTGTTATCATTTGAGTATCTTGTTCTGTGTAGGTAAACAGTTTACAAAAGACAAAGTCAAGTCATTGTGTATTATTTCAGAAATAGTTGTATGTCAGAGAGATAAAGTATGCTGAGAAATTAGCATTTATTGCTATTTTTAAGAAATAAGTTGATAAGAACCTAAAAATTACTGATCTGCTTAGTTGACTTGTGTATGTATTTATCATATGTTAGTAGTTTGTTGTTAGGGGTAAACACATCTGTAGAAGTAGAAAAATATAAGAAAAGTTTCAGAAGATATTTACAGCTAAGTTTATTTCTTTTCCTTAATAACATTGTACCTTGCTTAGTTTATTAATTAAATCATTATATTTTAAAACACTTTCTTACCTCATGGCTTAACTAATTCTGTAAAAATTTATCTTTGGACAATTTTTAGGCTTTGTAAGAGTTATACATGTCTGTAAATTGTGTAAAGTATTATAATAATTGACTCTATAATACTTCTTTAATATATAATATTTCATTGATATGAATGTGAAATTTTGAACAATTAAAGCTGGATAAATTATTTATAATTATGATATTTCAGCATTAGAAGTTATGGTAGAATTTGTTTAGCTAGCTCAAAAATTGTCAGACAAAAAAAAATTGTTTCTGGTGTGCATAAACATTCTTTTAGTCTTCCATATCAGTGAGAAATTATACCATGTTTAATTTAAGTTCAAACAGACTTATTAGATTGGTAAGCTACAAGCATTGTTATGCTTTATTTTACAAAAGAAAATTTACATATGAAACTGCATATTTAGTCACCTAGATCATGGTTCATTGAGAATTCTAATAAATAGACCAAAGTACTATTCTCAAATTGTGTATGTGATTCAGAAAAGTTAAAATTTCACCAAAATAATTTGTCTTGGGAATTTGTTCTGTAATGAATACTTGTATATGAAAATTATTTTGTGGATATCTAATTTATTTTTATTTTTTGTTCTAGTTTCTCTCATTTTTTTATTTAAATTTACAATATTTTATGTACTCATGTTAAGAATAATGAAACAGAGAAATTAGTAAGATTAGCTAGAGTAACCACAGTCTTCAAAGGCATTATAAAGTTGATAGAGATTTGTGTCTGTTTCCTTTACATCTAATAAATATGCTACATCATTTGAGACCTAGACCAGTCAGATACATTTTCATATTTAGCACAAAACAATTCTGAAGCATTTATGTTTATAAATATAATTAAAGAATGTGACAAAGTTTATATTATTGTGTACCATGTCTGAAACACACATACATATATATATATATTGCTATTTACCTATTGTATTTGTTGATTTCTATGAAAGAAAATTGTTTGGATGTGTTGAAATTTGGTATAATGGTTTTTGTTATCAATAGAAGATAATTTCTCTTCATCGAAAGACAACAACCGAAGTTACAACAAATAATTAAAAGTTGGCACAGGTAGAAAATCTGGAACCAGGTACTTGATGTGAAAAATCCTTGATTCTGTTTAGGTAATATTAAAAAAACAACTTGCATCAAATTTACTACAAATATTATTCTTTTCAGTGTATAATGCAAAGTTAAATGCTTTATATGGTACACATATGTTTCCTATCTTTTGCTATTTCAGTACCAAAATGATGAAATAATAAAAAAACTGTTGAGTATTAATATTAATATCCATGCTATTGGATTATATGTGCCATTTACTGGCTATATTTTGTTGCTTTTGTTTTTTATTAATAATCAACACCATAGTAGTAAAAAAATTCTTGGGTTAAATAATTATAAACTCAACGGGTATCCTAGTTTTCAAGTACCCATGCCAATCTTTACAGATAATGTATATTTGTTCTATTAAATAATGTTTCTTTAAATACATTGTCTAATAAAACCAAGTTTTTTCATTTTAAGAAGTTTCAAATGTGATGATTAAATTGGTTGAATTATTGCATAAATGTAACTTCACTGGAACTAATGAAAGATCAAATTTGAAACTACCAATAATTTGAAGTTCATATACATAACTTAGTATACCAGTTGTTCTAATAGTGTCATACTTTATTGTTATTTTATATTTGATGTATATCTCATGAGGGTAAAACCCTACTCAACAGTTATGATGTACATGTTTACACATTTAAAAGTTTTGCTAACATTGTCTTGGTCATATTTTAAAAGGAGTTCAAAGTGTCAGATTACAAGAATTGTAACATTTTTAAAGTTAAAAAAAACAAAGTCAGTAAGTTGAGATGAAAGTTATCAAGTTAAAGAACAAAGTCAGTCAGTTGACATGAAAGTTATCAAGTTAAAAGAAAGTCAATCAGTTGACATGAAAGTTATCAAGTTAAAGAAAACAAAGTCAGTCAGTTGACATGAGAGTTATAAAGTTAAAAATTTTAGATTCTTTTTTGTTGTAATAACTTTTAATATAATGCAAATTCCAATTACTAACTTGTTTCTTTGCAGTCTAACTACAAATTTTGGAACCATGGAAGTATTGAAGGTGAAGGATGAATACTTTTCTGATGAGGAGCAAGATGCTCTGTTGGATATCAAATTGATGAAAAATGAAGAGACATTTACATTACCTGTGTGTAAGTATATACAGTATTGATAATAGATTTCAAAAGAACCAGAAACTGGAGCTCTTTCAAATAGTTCAGTGGTCCTTTAACTGAAGGGAGTACAACCATATATGGGGGGGAGGGGGGGGAATTGTCAGGAAAAAATTTGTAAATTAAGTTTATCTTGTCATCATTGGCTGTACATATATATGTATATTGTTGCATCAACGA